AGTCAGCAGGAAGCTGCTTCACTAGGAATATGACTTCAGATCCCCCAATATCTCCAGAGATGGGAAAGCAGAACCTACGTGGCATTCAGGAGTCCTAACGTTTTCTCCCCACTCCTCCTTGGGCTAGACTGATGCTGAGTGTGGCGCCCCAGGCCTGTCATCCCAGCACCGGGGAGGTGGAGGCAGAAGGATCAGGAGTTCAATGTCATCTTCAACTACACAGAGAGTTTCTAGGCCGGCCTGGGGGTACATAAGAACCCACCTTAAAGCTGGTGAAACTCCCCTCTAATCCCAGTACTTGGCAGAGCAGAGACAGGTGGCTCTCAAGTTCTAGATCAGTCTAGTTTGCAGAGCAAGTTCCAAAATCCATCAGTCAGTCAGTACATAAGTAAGTAAATGACAAGCTGGCTAGGAATTATTGCATTCACCCACATCTTCTGCCTTAACTCTCCCCGGCCATTCCCATAAGAAACTCTGGGTCTTTTGCCTAGGCCAACACTCAAAGGAATTCATAGCCCTACGAGGCTTTGTCAGCCAAGCGGCCCCAGTGGAAACTAGGTCTCTCCTGAGGGTATTTCAACATTCTGAGAGCTTGTTTAGTCTCAGCAAGGAGCACACTGACTTCCCTTGGCCCAATGTCAAGTAGCCCATATATTTAGACTATTAATACCTGAAGTTTGAAATTCCCTTGGTTACATCCACTACACTGTCTTTGCCAACTACAGCACAGGGTGATTAAAGGCAGCAACATGTGCACTTCATGTCCTATTACACACCGTCAGAGCCTCAAGCCGTAGCTACTATCTAGGGGAGCCTCGGATGTTTACAGTCAATTACGGTAAGTTCAGGCCAATGTCACTCAAGCTATCCCTCCAAAGAATCAAAGTGAATCAAAGCAAATTGCTTCTCTGGAAGAATCAAAGTCAAGGCCACAAACACGGGGGAAAAACCTGCCATGTGTCCTAATTCCTATCACGTCTGCCCTCAGTTCCCCAATTTGGTGCAAAAATGGGATTTAGAGAGTTTATCAAGGATTTAATCAAGTAGCAAGCCCAGTGACAAGTTTTTCTGATGTGGTTTTCTTGCTGGAATGAATACACAGAGTCCCTGGTCCCTGGGGTAGGCTCTTGATTATAACAAATGAAATGTTCTCCATTCTGATGAACAGGAAAGGCCAGAAGCAATTATGTTACCTGTGGCTGGGGTCTGGGTCGGATGTTTTCAGGCTCTTGGCTTCTTATTGAAAGGGTTGAAATAAAGGCTCACACATATTTGTGAGGATAGGAAGCAGCTTAATTCGAAGTGAAGCTGTAGCACAGATTAGTCAGGGATATACTACCAAGATTGACAGTGGGCCACAGAATCCTCAAGGGATCTCATTCCTGCTTGAGGCTTCCTTTTAAGGGGCTCAAGAGAAGGCGGAGTTTAGTTGCTAAGAAGCCCAGTGAGTGTGGCTCTGTTTCAACTGGTGAAATACATCCTGTTATCAGTTTCCTACCGTGCATGGCCCTTCCCATAGTGCACCTGATTTTACTCATATGCAGGCTTAAGTATGCACAGATGTAAAGGTGGAAGGGATTCTCTCTAAGTTTACGTGAGGACAGTTTTGCCTTGGTGTACATGTTCCCAAGACCAGTTCAGACTGGATCAGCCTTTCCATTCTTTCCTAATACACTGGGAATATATCTGAGCAGAAACTAAGTTCGAGTATTGTCAGAATAGGAGAAACTCGTTCCATTCTGCAGAGATGGGGGCACATGCAGCTCAATTAGGTGGGCGTCTGAGGTTGCCAAGTGCATTGCTCAAAGAGGATTGAATCGCTGAGTGGTGTGAGTGTGCGTGTGTGCGTGTGTGTGTGTGTGTGTGTGTTTGTGTGTGTGTGTGTGTGTGTGTGTGTGTGTGTGTGTGTGTGTACATAATCCAAACCAAGTAGAGTCCCAGGTTACTAAACTACCCCCTACGATTGCCAGCCCTAACTGGGTTGAAGTGACATGGTTAGTTCAGAGGGCAGTGTCACTATTTTTAGTGATTCAGAGAAAGAGCCTCAGAGCTGATTACCTGAGATCAGATCCTGGCTCTGATAAACCTACCAGTTGTGTGACCTCAGAAGTAAACTCTTTGAGCCTTAGGGCCCTCATCTGTAAAGCAGAGCTAACAGTACCTACCTCAAAGGACTGTGAGGGTCAGCAGGACGGCTCAGTGGGTAAGGGTGCTTGCCACCAACCCCTGATGACCCGGGTTCAGTCCCTGGGACCCACATGGAGAAAGGAAAGAACTGACTCCCAAAAGTTGTCTCCCGACCTCCACATGTGCTCTATTGTACACACACACACACACACACACACACATGATATAATTGAAGTTTTCTTTTAAAAAATTATGAGTTAAATGGGTTAATATAATGAAGTGCTTAAGGGACACCTTGCATTCAATGGCTGTAAATACTGACCTGTCATCTCACAAGGAAGTAAACACATCTTCGGGGAGCTTGACTAACTTACCATCCCTCAAGACATGGTTCTGGCTCAATACAGGTGACATCCTCTGAGGGGATGTAGCTAATACACTACTGTCATGGACCCCAGAACTGTCACTATGAAACTCCTACTGTGTTCTCCACTGGGCCTCCCAGCTTCCTCCTCTGGCCATCAGGACTCTTGTCGTTTCTGGCACCATCTGTGTGACCTCCCAGCTCGGGACCTGAGAGCCCCTCCTTCCTCTAGTAGACAAGTAGAGGAAAAACGAGAATGACTTTTTACTGGGCAGTGGTGGCACACACCTTTAATCCCAGCACTTGGGAAGCAGAAGCCGTCGAATCTCTGTGAGTTCAAGGCCAGCCTGGTCTACAGCATGAGCTCCAGGACAGCTGGGACTACACAGAGAAACCTTGGTCTGGGGTGGGGTGAGCGAAAGACCTGAAAACTGAGGTCGCCTTAGGAATGAGGCTGAGCTATCAGCATCAGACCAGTGACCCTGCCTCAGACAGCAGGCTAGACCCAGGCAGAGTATCAGGGTTTCCATGGGAAGAGAAGGCCTCTGCACATGGAACTAGCTCTGCCTCTGCCTAGGCTGTGTAGCTCAAAGAGTTTCCAACTTCTCTCTGACCCTGGTTTATAAAATCCCATGGGAGAGTCATGATTGGGAATAAGGGTCCTCTCTGCCACCTCCTCCAGTGAAGCCTGATATCTACAGCCTCAAGGCAGACACACAGCTGTGCTGGTTTGAATGAGAATGGCCCCATAGGCTCTTGTATTTGAATGCTCGGTTCCCAGTTGGCAGAACTGTTTGGGAAGGATTAGGAGGTGTGACTTTGTTGAAAAAGAGCACAAGTACACATCTGCCCAGCAACTGGGGGGGTGATGGTGGCCACGGACTCACCCTCTGATACTGTAAACAAGCTCCTAACACAGTGCTTTCTTTCCTAAGTTGTCTTGGTCCTGGTCTCTTTCTTCATAACAATAGACAACAGCCAAGGCTGTTGCCTGGTCCCACTGTTCCAATCTGGGTAGAAATTAAAATCAGCCATTTCCTATATTCCATTTTTACAAACGTTCTTACCAGCTTGATCTAGCAGCCCCAGGAAAGGGATTAGAGAGGGGCCTTAGTTATATTAAAAGACACCTACTAGGATCCAAGCATCACGGCCTCTTCCTAAACCCTGAAGTTATTTATAAGTCTAGTGTAGATGCCCCAGTGTGTGGTGCATCAGTGACCATTGCCAACACCAGGGACCCTCTCATAATCCCAGAGTCTGGATCATTAGGGGAGAGAGCCGGGTGCAGGCCTGAGTTCCAACATGATTTTAGAGAGTAAAGAGTGAGCTTGATGTAGAAAACATTTGTTCTAAGGGCCAACAGAGGAGACTAAACCAAGTAGAGTAGGAAGACCCCTAAACTCCTATCACCTTGATTAAATGACCAACCACATCCACACTGCCCACACATGGCAATTTAAGACCTGAAGAAACATGGGCCGCTGTTATAATGTAAACACACAAGCCTGTTAGAGAACTTGCAGCCCTCGGGGGTCAGGTAGCTGGGTCTTCCAGCTTCTTGATTATGTTAGTTCTATCTGGCAGCTGTTGCTTAGATGAAAGGCAAATTGTCTTTCTCACTGGGGAAAAGAAGGGATCCCATTCTTTCTGATGAAAAAATAAATAAATAAAGCTGCAGAGACATGCAACAACCCACACTGTGGTCTGGGGGAGCCTGCATTCCTGTGGCGAGGAGTCATGAAGAAATATCCCCTGAGAAAGGGGAGCAGCTCCGGAGAACGGTTACCCACCGATGAGCCGCTGCTGGCCCTAGGCCTGGGTCTAGGCTTCCCAGTGTCCTTGTAGGAAACTGTAGGGTATCCTAGAACAGGTCCGGAAGTCCAGGCAAACCACGACACACACAGGAACACAAGGTTCACCAGGCAGCTTCAGACTCACAGGTGCTGAGGAGTCCGAGCCCTCCAGAGAGGCAAAGAAGCCAGAGACCTCTCCTTCAGAAACAGCAGGTCCAAAGCTACACAGGGTGGCTCACACCTACAATCCTGAGAAGGCTGAGGCAGGAGGATTGCCAAGAGTACAAGACCAGTATGGGCTAGAGAGTGGGACTGTCTCAAAAAGCATACACAAATTTAAAACATTTTTAAACGAAGGAAAGAAAAGGAAGAATGGAGACACAAGTAATTTTAAGAGCTTTTTTTTTCTTTAATTTCAGGAAGAACACAGGCAACTAATTACTTTCTTACAGACAGTAACAAGCTGTGACTGCCGCAGGAATGAAGTGGGTCACTTCTCAACTTCAGTAATTCAGGCAGCCATTTACACAATTTTATTAAAATTGTGCATCGATCTCATACTTACATTTCAAAAAAAAACTTCTTTTATTCTGGTATCAAAATAGTTATCTTTTTAAAATACCTTGAAAAGCTGTAATATACTTATCTTGCCATATATTAAATACTCTCCTAAAATATCAATCATTTCTCTCCCATCTCTCATAGGATCTTACCTTACCTCTGCTGCCACTCTCTTTATTTCTTATTCTTTTCGTTTCTTGGCATTTTTGACACTTATCCAAGATAGGTACGAAAAGGAAAAGATTTTCCTTACAAGCCCTTTATGTAAAAAAAAAAAAAAAAAGTAAAAGTAAAGGAAGGAAGGTAGGAAAGATGGGAAGGGAGGGAGGGAAGGATGGAATGGGGGAGGGAG